TGTCAGGCTCTCTACAGGCTTGCCCCACCCCTGCTGAAATCCATGCCACTGCATCTTCACAGCTATCACTGCCTGAGCTGGCTCGATTCCAGCTAGCGCGGGAGAGCTGTAATGCACCAGTGATGGCAGGTAGGCACAGCTATAGCCTGCTGGTGTGTTTGCTGTGCAGTCGTGCCTGGCTCTGTTACAGTGCTGTGTGTGTATAGAAGAGATCAGGAAGAAAGCAACTTCTGAAGAGGATGCATTTTTAAGTACCCAAACCTGAGAGTAGACAAGGTATCAGGAAGGGGCCAAGCTATTTGTCTCACCTCTGGATCCCTTTGCTGGTTCTGATCCTGGCTCTTCTCAGGACTAACAGCCCTGGGAGAGGGGTCGCCTGTTGAGCCATCCAGCTTTACCCCCATCCTGCCTGACCCCCGTTCTCAGAGCCCTGCCCAGAATTTGTAGCACATCTGCTCTTGCTTCTGGCTCTAAGCACGTTCATCTGGCAGCCAGGCCAATTTCTCCCTGGCTTCTGGCCATTCCCCCTGTCTGTCCAGTTATAGTCCCCCTCCTCGCACCATGTCTCAGCTGCTGGTTTGTAGAGGCACCATCAATCCCTTTTGCTCTCAGCCCCACCTGTTAGCAGCCAGAGCATGTGGCCAGATCACTTCTCACCTGCCTTCCTGGAATTCACCCACACAGTGAGAGCCTTCTGTGGAACAGCTTGGTGGACAAGGCTGGTGTGGGGCCACAAGGCTGGTGTGGGGCTCCCTAGTGCTCAGGGAGAGCCAGTTCCCCTGTCAGCAGTAGCCCATGTCACCCTGCCCTTGCCAGGTGACTTCATTCCCCCTGCACCATCCTGGCCAATCCCACTTTGTCCATGCAGCAGGCTCAGCAGCCACCTCTGAGCTGTGGCACCTGGGCAGGACACATGCCAGTTGCCTGTGCGGGCTTTCACAGACTGTTCCTCATTCCTGTCTCTTTCTTTTGGCTTCAGGCCCTGGACAGTGGAGTCATCAATGCTCTCAGGGTCTGGGGTCACGGCTGTTCCCCAGCTGGCAGCATGGACACTGGGGGTCTGCCTTGGCTGTCCTCTCTGGCTGGCTCCCTCAAGGATGGGAGGCTGGTTCATGCAGGAGTGTGCTCTGTTTGGGTTTGGCCAGGCTGGTGCAGGAGGCCTGGCATAACATGATCCAGGTTTCCCTCAGGATTTTCTGCCTTGCTGAGACCAGCTAATGCTAGAAATGGTACACCAAGGCCCAAACAGAGGAGTTTTCTCTGGAGAAGCACGTCAACCTAAAGATCCTTCCTGAGACTGAGACTGCAATTGTACATCGGGAGGCCCTAACCTAGCTCCCATCCCTGCTTAGATACCACAGAGACCAGGGCAAGATTGTGGGGCATCAGCAGAGCTGTACACAGGAGCCCAGGGGTGGGATGGCAGGGAGATGTGGGTTGGGATCTAGGGGTAGTAGCCAAGCTGGGAAGGAAGACCAGGGATGGGATAACAGGGGGCTGCCGGTCAGCACTGAAGGATACCAACAGAGCTGTGGTACGCGGCAAGGCCACCGGTTCATGGCCATCTGTCTGATCCTGGATGTTTCCCCAGAGCCACCAAAGTGACTCTCTGCTGCCCCCAGATGGGTGAGAAAGCTCTGTATTGTGAGAGGTCTCCTCCCACAAGTACTGGAGGGAACCCAGTCCCTGAGCAGGCATTCACCCAGGAGCACTAATGCATCTTGCACCCAGTGGCCCCTGCGGGGCCATTGCTCCCTCAGAGTGCTCCTCCTACCTGTGCCTGGAGCAGGGCACCAAGAGCCTGCAGGTCTTCAGCATGCCAGGCTGGTTTCCACAGTGCTCTCCCATTAATGCTGCACCAGGTGGTTCTGCTCTGAGCTTTGCTCCCAAGTCTCATGCTGACGTCAGCATGTCACAGTGGTGATGTGTAGGGGGTGCATGGGGGTACACATGCACCCCCTGAGAGTGCAGGTGCACTCCATCACCGGTCATGCTCGCCGCTTAGGTGATGGGTAGGCAGAGCAGGCAGGAGCACTGGTGCCTCCCCTGCAAGCACTGGCCACTTCCAGAACCCCCCCAGCCCGGGTCAGTGAGATTGGTCACGGTCTCTGTCAGTGAGACTGGCCACAGAGGACCACCCCCCGGTCAGTGAGATGGGCTGCAGGGGATCCCCCCGGTCAGCGAGACTGGTGGCTGGGAGGGCACGTGCTCCCCCTGACTAAGGCAGCACCAGTCGCCCATGACATGTCATCAACACATGAGCACAGGATCAGTGTTACAGAGAAGTGATGTCTGAGTAGGTGATACCCAGGGCACCAGAGAACCTAGATAAGGTCCTGGGTCTTCAAGATGAGACTAGGGCCCCACTGTGCCTGGGGGTGCATAGACACAGAATGCACTGTCAGTTGAAACAGAGGGGATGTAAAGGATGGGAGGGAAAACTGAGGCACAGAGAAGGAGGCAGTTTGTAGAGTCAAACCACCTAGCTGTCCTGAGCTGCCCTAACCACTGCATCCTCCCTGCCCTATTGTGCCAGCTGCAGGCCATGGTTAAACACCTGTAAGTAAAAGAATTCCTGTTAATAAAATCTCTGCCCCCAACAGAAAGCAGGTGCCACCTTTGTGAGGAAAGTGCAAAAGCAGCTGATGCTGCAGCGGCAGCTGGATGCGCTGCTGCAGTTGACACAACAGGTGCCAGGGCTGTGTTGTGCATCATGGCTGCCCTGGGTGTGGAGCTGCCCTGCTACACCTCTGAGCCAGACAGGAAGAGTGGAGAGCTGGGGATGGAGGAGGAATGAGTGGTGTGGCAAGGCTAGCCAGATCCATTCCAGTGGTGCTGGTTGGTAGTCTGAAGAGTACATTAGAGACAAGCCTTATGAGAGTGTCTGGGCAAGTTGGAGCAGTGGGCATGCCTGGGGAGACATGGGCCAAAACACAAGCCTGCTGGTGTTGGCCAGGCACTTGGATATATGCTCTGGACCCCTCATTCAAAGGGCTGGGCTCAAGCTACCTTGTGTCTGCAATCCTGCATCATTGGAGCATGTGCATGGGCAACTGGTGCTGCCTTAGTCCGGGGGACACATGCCCCCCCCCTCCCCCCAGCGACCGGGGTGGGGGTCCCTCGCAGCCAATCCCACTGACCAGGGGGTAGGCCCCCCTCAGCTGATCCCGCCAACCAAGGGGTAGAGGGTTCTCCCACCCCGTGGCCAATTGTGAGGCAGCTGATCACTGCAGCTACTTGCAGAAGTGGCTGCGGCCACTTCTGGAGAACCACAGCTCTCCACTCCTTGGCCAGCACTCGCAGGGGGGGGCACCGGCGCTCCTGCCTGCCCCCCTGCCTGTCACCTAAGTGGTGAGCCTGGCCAGTCAGGTGGTGTACCAGTGCTCTCAGGGGGTGCACATGCCCCCCTGTGCACCCCCTACACCTTGCCACTGAGCATGTGTATGCATGGGAGGGGATTAATTAGTGGAAGAACAGGCCAAGCCTGAAGAGGAAACCCCCCTTCCAGGATCTAGGGAACAGAGATCAAGTTCCCTGGCCTCTCCCTGCATGAGTCACAGCCCAGAAACTATTCAAGTGCAGCCAACCCTGCACACCTGTGTGAATGGATAGGGTTACTGCCAGTGCCCCCAGAGAAGGCCAGTACTGTATCCACACAGCCACCTGGCCCCTGCTGCCCTGGGGGCCTCAGAGCTCAGCCAGGGCACTCCGAGCTTTGGGGCTGGGCCTGGGCAAGGAGGGCCATGAGTCTGCATGGCCACAACCATGTACAGGAGACCCTCACCATTCACAGGGGATACATTCTCGAGAGCCCCGCCAATGACAAAATCCACAGATAAGGCACTGCGTTCATGAATGACATCTGCGTTCATGAACGCAGTGCCCCCTGGCAGCTGGGGGTTTGGGGGCACAGCTGCGCTGGCAGTGGCAGGAGCGTGGTGGCGGGAGCCCGGCAACAGCAAGCACAGAGCTCCCAAGGAGCTCCCATGAGTGTATTTAAGATGCGGGTTCAGCATTCATGAATATTTGAAACTGCAAATGCTGAGCCTGCGAATAGTGAAGGCTTCCTGTATTTCTACTGACCCTTTCCTGGTCTCACTCCCTGGCAGGCTCTGGCAGAGGCTGGAGGAAGCTGCTCTGTAATTGGGACCTCTCTCCCCTGGGACCAGCTCACACACAGAGGGAGCTGCTGCATCCCTGTCAGTATTGTAACCCCACCCCTCACTCCCAGTCCCCTCCAAAGCTATTGGGTCTCCCCAAGGCACCTTGCTTGGGGGACACAGTGTTTTGCAGAGGGTCTTCAGGCTCCCAGCTCCCTTGAAGAGCAGGACTGGGAACCTGTGTTGCACTGAGGCAATGCAGGGCTCAGCTGGGGGGAAACATCCCTGCTGCTCTGCAAAGCCATCAGGTCATCTCCCTAGCCCCTGCATGGAGCAGGCTCCAGGGAATGGTCAGACTGTAGTCTGCCCCGCTTCTCTCAAGACATCTCAGAACCAGCCTCCAGTTGCTCAAAGGTCTCAGGGGAGCTCTCACAGGGGCTTCAGCTGGTCAGCCTGAAAGCAGGAGCTCTCTGCCCCTTTGAGTCTGTTATGGCCCCAGCCCTGGAATGTGCTGCCCTTGCTCAGCCCCAGCATGGCCAGGGCAGGGTGGCCATCATAGAGTGGGGCCTCAGCTAGGGCCTGTGCACTAGGATCTTTACACCGTAACTTGGAGAGTCTTATCCTTGCTCAGTGGTTAGGGGGAGGGGTGCCCTGGTGGGTGTAATGTGGTGTTTGGTAGTTGGGGGTCACACTACATTCCCAGGCTGGGAAATGCAGGCCTGGCTCTGGTGTCCCAAACCTCAGAGTGATTGAATTTTGCCACCTGTGCTTCCAGCACCTGTCAACAGGAACCCTGGTGCTGCCATGGTGGGCTGCCACTCCTCAAAGCTTGGGCATAGGTCTTGGCAACTAAGAGACCCATGTGAGAGGGGACCTGACAGGTCTGTGCTTACTTCACAGAGCTGAAAGCCACTGGCACTGCGCATTTCTTCAACTTCTTGCTCAACTCCAGCGATTACCGCATCCTGCTAAAGGATGAGGACCATGACCGCATGTACGTGGGCAGCAAGGACTACATCCTCTCGCTGGACCTGCATGACATCAACCGGGAACCCCTGATCGTAAGGGCCTCTCTATTCTGCCTTTCACTCAAAAATGGGGAAGGGGAATTTGGGACCTCTGGAAGAGGAACTCCATGATGTGAGCTGTAGGCCATGAAGGTGGAATAAAAAGGGTCATGGTCTAATTAGTGCTGTGATTGCAGCCCAAGCTATATCTTGGCAAGACCAAGAGTCACTGCTTAGGAGGGAACTGGGACCCTGTAGCAGAAGCTGCAGGAAAGGGGGTCCCTCCACCAGTCCTACTCGCCTGTCATGTCTTTCTGGAAAAAAAAAAAGAATTAATTTTGGAGTTGTCTTACCCCTGCCCAAAGCAGAGGGTGGGAAGAATCCTAAGGTGAGAACTCACGACCTAGCAGGGCTTTGTGTGCCTGTTGGCTCCCCAAATTTCCTATCCAGGCCATCACTCGGTTGGTTCTCCTCTTCTCTCTTTCAGTCCAGCAGACTCAGACTCTGGGTTACTCCCAGGCTTCTACCCCTCCCAGAGCAGGAAT